GATGACGTTGGGTTGGATTGAGTAAGAATTGAAGCCTAAATGGCTGGAAATTAGGTAAACACAAAGGGCATGCTGCCCAAATTTACGTTCGAGGACTACAAAAATACATTTGCGACTTGGGTTGAGTTGAGATGAATAGTACTTGAGCCACCTAGGACTTTGGCTATCTTGGATCGAGGGTTATATGGTAAAACCTAGTCGAACTTGTACCCTTGAGGAAAAGACATAAGGGTCAATGTAAACTTGTATTTCCTTGTACTTTCAACTCGAGTGTTATTTCCAAGTATATATGCTACAAAACCTTACGATTTGAAAAGCGAGCAAGTGTTTATCAAATGTCTATCAAATGAATTTCAATTGGTCAATTCTTAATGAACGAAATGTTTAAGTTTCGAATCCTACTCGTGTTTCAAAGTTCTCAAACTGAATTTTTATCGCAGATCTGGACTCCAAGCCTGGAGTATAATTGAACGTGAATTCTTGAAGCACTATATTTTGGTGAGCGCTTCCAAATATCCGATTGTACTTGATACATGTGTTCATTACTTGACTTGTATGATTACATGAAAATGAATGATAGGGCAAGGGTGTATTTTACCGCACTTGCCCTAATATGACTTGTTCTTGCTATTGATTACACTTGACTTGCTCTACATGTACTTGAGATATGTCTTGTCTGGAATTCCAGAAACCCTGTGGCTAGTTAATCGAGTCGAGCCGGCAAGGGTCTGGTCGATTAGATAACGAACCCTGGGTCACTAGTAATGTCGAGTGGAGTGCTATCTTCTCGACTAAACGGTATACTCGAGTATTACCACCCATGTTTCGTATGGCGTGCGGGCCTGGGAAAGGGGGTTGATTGGTGGACGGAGATTGGCGTGTAGTGGAGTTTTATTTTGGACTTGTTATGGCTTGAAAGTTGGCGGAGTGTCAACTACCACTTGACCAAGTTGGAATGGAGCCGTGATATGGGTTACTGTATCCTTACATGTGAATGTGAACTTGATATTACTTGGCTAGCTGAAGTACTATTTTCCTGATTTGACTTGTTGCTCGCTATTTCACTATTACTTTGTTATCACCTGATTTGTTGACCAATTTGATATTTGAGAATTTCACTGAGGTTTGGCTCACCCCGTTAGTTTGTTTTCCTTACAGGGGTACGAGCGAAGCGTGAGACGTGTAAAGGCTAGCGTAGTCTAGTTGCTCTTGATTTTGTTTTGAATTTTGACTTGTACTCGCGCTATTCCTCGAATGGACTATTTTGTACTTAGATTGTATACGCTTTGAACTAGTTTGAGTATATCGAGACTTTGTACCCTGATTCCTATCCTTGTATGTTATAAGCTTGAATTGGGAATGTTATTTATGGTTCATGGTGGATGTGTATGTACGTGATTCGCGTGAACTAGTGAGTGAGTCCTGGCGAGAGCTGGGCAGGCGGTCCGCCGAACCCTTTGGTACGCCTTAGGGGGAGGTGGGGTCGTCACAATATAACACATAAACACAACAATCAAGCATTTTAATTCTCAAAACAGTTACCTATAATCCACCTCAATACCACTAACCTAGAGATTAAAGCAAGAAATGAAATTCATCAAGTCCTCTAGCTTATTTCTTGTTTTGGGTTTCAAACCCATACAAAACTAACCACTAAACTTTGATTAAATGGAAAGATTTAGAGGAGATAAAGGTTACCTCTTGAACTTTAGATGAAACCAGAAATTTTCACCAAAACTCTCCAAAAAAAAGTCCACAAGATGATGTTTTTCTTCAAACTAGAACTAATCTCCAAGTAGTATGTGAGTTGGGTGAAGATTTGTAAAGGAAATGAAACAAGATTGGAACAAGATGAAGAGCCTTCTTTCTTCCTTCCTTTTTCCTTTGCCATTTTGGCCGACTGATAAGTGAATATTTAACGTGTATTTTGTACAATTTTGACATGAATTTTTGGTATATTTTAAGAAGATTAAAGCCATATTTGAACTCTTTTGGTGATAATTGATTAAATATTGTTTAAGTGTTCAAAACTTGATAAATGAATGGATTAATGCGTTAATTTTGTGAAATTGTGAAGGATATCGATATATGAAATTCATGCACGAGATGAAGGGAATGTAAGGATCGTCCAGAGGATAAAGTACACAAGAAATTAGGAGCAAAAATGAAGGAAAAAGGAAAGAAGTGAAAAACTGAAAATTTAATGGCACGGATCCGAGTGAAAGCAAAGAAGGATTCGAGCCCTCGTCTGTACTTTTAGAGGAGTGTATCCGATGTCATACGCTCCGACCTTGGATCCATTATGAAATTCTCGGATCCTTAAGATCTGACCTCGGATCATTTTTCACCCTCGGATCCAAGGCTCGGATCTGTGCCTCTCCTCAGCAAGTGCCACAGCCGTTTTTCTTTACTTTTCTCACAACTTTTTCAGCTATTTTGAGGGACAGAAATTGGTGGTACAAGCTTCTGCAACAAAAGAGAAGACCAAATGAGTGTGGACAAAAGAAACATCGTATCTTTGACTCCTTTTTACAAAATTTGAGTGGAGAAAATTATGAAGTGAGAGAAGTAGACTTTCTACCACCTTTTATGCAGAGACACAAGGGAGAAGCGGAGATTACCGTACGTAGCTAGTTTTCCTCTTGTAACTAGTTTTCTCTAACTAAGAGTTCTTATAGAAGCATTTTGGAGTTTTAACTTGTAATCATCTTGTACAAAAACATAGTAGAAATTGGAGGGTTTCACCATCAATTGGCTAAACTTTCTTTTATTTTTTTTGAACTTGTACCTTATGATATTTTGTATTAATAAACTTATGAGTTTGATTGTTAAATCATTCATGAGTAGCTAAACTCCTTAATCTTGGGAGTAGATGAAACTTATGACTAAATAATACTAATTGAATGTGATTTACACATGTTATATCTTGTATTAACTTGTCTACTTGTGTAGCTGTGATTACTTGTTATTGATTGATCACCAATAGCATGTTTATAGTTGTTATTATTCAATGAGAATTGGTAGTAACAATGGAAACACATAAGTAGAGCTTAAGTTGTATGTTCAAGAAAATAGAGATACACTTAAGTAGATTACTTAGCATTTCATGAAAGAAAATAGAGTAGTATTAGTATTTCACCATGAAAATAGGAAAAACTAAACTACTTTAGGCCATTTCATCATGAGAATGAGGCTTGGTAATTTTGGAAATGAATCTCTGGTTAAACAAGAATAATAACAAGAGGTAAATCCATTCATTTGTGTTGTTTATGCCATAAGTGGAACCTACATCCCTAGAATCTTCCTTCAGTGAAATTTATCCATTTAAATTTAGCATTTGTTAAACTAGATTTGTGTATCAGATTTGTAGTCTATAGCAATATACTTTTTCTGCTCAAATTTATTGTAAGTCTAAATAATAGAGAAAAATAAGGGTCTAGTACTTGTTTAAATTGCTCCTCGTGGGATCGATCCGATACATACCCTATATTACGATTTCGGCCTGTATGCTTGCAGCTAACGGGTATAAAAATAGGATTTAAACTTGCATTGATATAAAAATTTTGTCAAGTTTTTGGCGCCGTTACCGGGGAGCGGCAATATTAGAGCCTAATCATTTTTATTAATTTAGACAGCTTTATTTTTTTTTTAGTTGAGCTGATTATATTTAATCCTACATTGTAATCAAAATTTTGACAATAGAAGTTGCATAATATCTCTTATTTCTATTTGTAGTGTATGCACTGGACATTCGAGAAGTTGCACTTTTCGATCCAGAGATTGAGAGGACATTACATAGACAAAGGAGGAACACACCACAGCAAGAGGAACAAGAGATTTAGCAACCAATGGAGGAAATCTTAATAGAGCTTCCATTTGAAGAAGGAATAGCAGAAAATGAAGCAAATGGGCGAGTTCTACGAGATTTTGCTTTACCAGAAACACAAGAATCTCAAACGAGCATAGCAAGGTTTTCGGTAAATGTTAATAATTTTGAGATTGAACCATCACTTATCCAAATAGTTCAACAATCTCAATTTTAAGGTAATGCAGTAGAAGATTCTAATTCACACTTAGCTACATTTTTAGAAGTTTGTGATATAATTAAAATGAATGGAGTTAGTGATGATGCTATAAGGCTAAGATTGTTCCCATTTTCATTGAGAGATAAGGCCAAACTTTGGCTACACTCTTATGCTCCTAATACTTTCACTGGATGGGATGATTTATCAAGAGCATTCTTGAATAAATATTTTTTACCAGGTAAAACTGCTAAGCTAAGAATGGATATCACTAGTTTTAGCCAATTGGAAGATGAATCATTATATGAGGCATGGGAAAGGTTTAGAGATTTGCTTCGGAAATGTCCACATCATGGACTGCCGGAATGGTTAATCATACAAACCTTCTATAATGGTTTAGTTTTTTCTACTAAAACTATGATCGATGCAACTACAGGTGGAGCTTTAATGGGAAAATCACCCCAAGAAGCTCAGAATTTGATAGAAGAAATGGCCGCAAATAACTACCAATGGGCCAATGAGAGAGGTAATACAAGACGTCACGCAGGTATGATAAAAATGGACACTCTCAATATGCTGAGTGTTCAAATGAATAATGTGATGAAGTTGCTAAGTAGACAAGGTGGAGTTGGTCCAAGTTCATCTAATGCACATGTAGCGTGTTGCTCTATATGTGGAGGTGAATATGATACTAATAAGTGTGTTGATTCTGAGCAGGTACAATTCGTCAATAATTACAATTGTAATGCTCAAAATAACCCCTACTCGAATACTTACAATCCGGGGTGGAGAAATCATCTAAACTTTGGATGGAAGGACCAAGGAAATCAACCAAGGCCAGCCAGTCCACCGGAATTTCAATTAAGGCAACAACAAACTGAAACCAAACCTGGTTGGGATATCGCTGTGGAAAAGCTTGCTAAGGTTACTTCGGATAGATTCGAGCGAGTTGAGGGGTAGTTGGACCAACTCACTACAATGTACAGGAATGTAGAGATCCAAATTGGTCAAATTGCTAGTTCTTTGAATAATCGAAATCAAGGAGAATTACCTAGCAAAACGGAGGTAAATCCTAAGGAGCATGTCAAAGCCATTACTCTTCGTAGTGGTAAGCAATTAGAAGATCCTCCAGTGGTGGAAGTTGAGAAAGATGAGAATGAAAAACAAGAAGAAAAGCAGAGGAACCAAGAGGCGATAATGGAAGAAAATGGCCCGGAGAAACCAAGAGAAAATCAACCATCATCTTCCGCTACCATTCCAATACCTCCTGCGGTTCCATTTCCACAAAGATTAAAGCAAATAAGTTTGATAGAGATTTTGAAAATTTTGTTAAACTTTTCAAACAATTGTACATTAACATTCCTTTTGCCGATGCTATTTTGCAGATTCCGTCATATGCAAAATTTCTAAAGGAAATCATGACTAGAAAAAGAAAGTTGAAAGACTGCGAAACAATAGCATTAACTGAGGAGTGTAGTGTAATTATACAAAATAAGCTACCACCAAAATTGAAAGATCCAGGAAGTTTCTCTATACCATGCACCATAGGTAACATTGATTTTTTTAAGGCATTGTGTTATCTTGGTGCTAGTGTATCGTTGATTCCTCTAACAGTGGCTAGACAATTGGGTTTGAAGGAGTTTAAATGCACTAATATTACTTTGCAACTAGCGGACAGGTCTATTAGATATCCATTGGGAGTGTTGGAGAATGTATTGATAAAAGTTCAAAAATTTATCATTCCAGTGGATTTTGTGGTGTTAGATATGGAAGAAGATGTATCTATGTCAATTATTCTTGGTAGACCATTTTTAGCTACTGCAGGTACTATTATTGATGTTAAAAATGGCAAGCTGAAGTTTCAACTAGGTGAAGAAGAGGTAGAGTTTAATCTGCATGAAATGGAAAAATACCCTTCTTTTACCGATCATGCATATTCTATTGGCACAATTGATAAACTAACTCAAGAGATGAGCCAAGTCAATTTTGATTTTGATCATCTTGAATATTGTTTAATGAGTTTAGGAAAGCAAGAAGGTGATTGTAGAGAGATTGAAGAATTGGCCAAGTATTTGGATTTTCAAGCACCTTATAAAAGGGGTAATTTGTATGAAAGTCTTGGCCAAGGAAAAAGGTTTTCACCACCTTCAGAAATTGAACCTCCAAAACTAGAGCTCAAACCATTTCCAACTCATCTAAGGTATGAATTTCTTGGAGAAAATTATACTTTACCTGTAATTGTTAGTGCTGACCTTGATGATGAGCAGTGTACAAAGTTGCTAAGAGTTCTAAGGAAGCATAAGAAGGCAATGGGATGGACAATTGCAGACATTAAAGGTATAAGTCCTTCTATATGCATGCATCGCATTTTATTGGAGGACAATTGCAAACCAGTGGTGGAAACACAAAGAAGACTCAATCCAAACATGAAAGAGGTGATAAGAAATGAAATTCTTAAGTGGCTTGATGCAAGTATAGTCTTTCCTATCTCCGATAGTATTTGGATTAGTCCAATTCATGTGGTACCAAAGAAAGGTGGAATAACTACAATCGTGGGTAAAAATGATGAATTGATTCCATCTAAACTTATGGTAGGGTGGAGAGTGTATATTGATTATCGAAAGTTAAATACGGTAACAAGAAAAGATCATTTTTTCCTACCATTTCTTGATCAATTATTGGAGCGAATAGTCGGATATGAATTTTATTATTTTCTTGATGGTTTTTCAGGATATAATCAAATAACTATAGCTCCAGAGGATCAAGAGAAGACCACATTTACATGTCCTTATGGCACTTTTGCCTTTAAAAGGATGCCATTTGGTTTATGCAATGCACCTGCGACTTTTCAACATTGCATGATGGCTATATTTTCAGATTATATTGAGAAAATTATGGAGATATTTATGGATAATTTTTCTATGTATGGTTCATCTTTTGACCATTGTCTTCATAATTTGGAATTGATTTTGCAGAGATACGAGGAAACAAATCTAGTACTGAATTGCGAGAAATGCTATTTTATGATAAAAGAAGGAATTGTCTTAGGACACAAGATTTCCTCCATGAAAATTGAGGTGGATAAAGCCAAAATAGAAGTTATCAAAAAATTGCCACCTCCAAACAATGTCAAGGGGATAAGGAGTTTTTTAGGACATGCTGGCTTTTATAGACGTTTTATTAAAGATTTTTCTAAAATAGTAAAGCCATTATGTGATTTATCATGTAAAGATACCCCTTTTCAATTTGATGACAATTGTTTGGTTGCATTTGAAAGGTTGAAGAAGGAATTGATTTCGGCCCCAATTATAACTTCTTCCGATTGGTCATTACCATTTGAATTGATGTATGATGCAAGTGATTATGCGGTTGGAGCAGTTTTGGGACAAAACAAAGAAGGACGATTGCACGTCATTTACTATGCTAGCGAGTTGCTAAATGAGACACAACTCAATTATGCAACGACAGAAAAAGAGCTATTGTTGGTGATATTTGTTTTAGATAAATTTAGATCCTATTTAGTAGGATCTAAAGTTATTATATATACTGACCATTCAACTCTTAAATATTTGCTACATAAGAAGGATGCAAAATCTAGACTAATTCGGTGGATTCTTTTATTGCAGGAATTTGATGTGGTGATAAAAGACAAAAAGGGATCGGAGAATCTAGTTGCAGATCATCTATCACGTTTGGAATATATACCGGTCAAAGATCAAGTTCCAATTCAAGAGAATTTTTCAGATGAGTTTGTCCTAGCACTTAGCAAGTCTCCATGGTATGCAGATTTTGCTAACTATGTAGTCAGTGGAGAGATTCCAAAGGGGTTTAATTATCATCAAAAGAAGAAATTTTTGCATGATGTCAAAAGTTACTTTTGGGAGGAACCATTGCTATATAGACATTGTGCCGATGGTATGATATGTAGATGTATTCCCGAAGATGAGGTACATAATGTTTTATATCATTGTCATAACCTTGAAACATGTGGTCATTTCAGTACTTCCAAGACTGTGGCAAAGGTATGGCAATCAGGGTTTTATTGGCCAACTATGTACCGAGATGCTAGAGAATATGTTAAAAATTGTGATGCATGCCAAAGAACTAGAAATATAACTCGAAAAAATGAAATGCCCCTAACTACATTCTTGGAAGTTAAGTTATTTGATGTATGGGGTATTGATTTTATGGGACCATTTCCTAGTTCTTTTAATAATAAGTACATCTTAGTAGCAGTTGATTATGTTTCTAAATGGGTAGAAGCAATCGCTTCACCTACTAATGACTCTAAGATTGTACTTAGATTCCTTACAAAGAATATTTTCAGTAGATTTGGTATACCTAAGGCCATAGTAAGTGATGAAGGGAAACATTTTTGTAACAAACAATTGGATTCCTTATTGTTAAAATATCGCTGTAGGCACAAGACATCACTTCCATATCATCCTCAAGCCAATGGATAAGCGGAGCTAACTAATCGTGAGATAAAACTCATTTTGGAGAAAACTGTGAATAAATCACGCAAGGATTGGGCTACAAAATTAGATAATACACTATGGGCTTACCGAACGGCATTTAAGACACCCCTCGGGATGTCACCGTATCGTTTAGTCTATGGAAAACCTTGTCACCTACCTGTAGAGATTGAGCACAAAGCTTATTGGGCAATTAAATCTATTAACATGGATTTTAATCTTGCAGGTGAAAAGCGATTACTTGAGTTAAGTGAATTGGAGGAACACCGACTACATGCATATGAAAATGCCAAAATTTATAAAGAAAAGATCAAATATTGGCATGACAAGCATATTATTCCTAAACAATTTCAGATAGGGCAACATGTACTTTTGTTCAACTCACGCCTGAGGTTATTTCCAGAAAAATTGAAGTCAAGGTGATCGGGACCATTTGAAGTTACTCAAGATTTCCTTATGGAGCAGTGGAAATAAAAGGAGAAAATGGTTCCCCATTTAAAGTAAATGGTCAAAGATTGAAACCCTATTTGGCCAGAGAAAAGGTTCCTAAAGGAGTAATTTACTCCTTAGGAAATGCAATGGAGGGTTAAAAGAGCTGTAGGAGAGTCGGGCCAACGATTATAAACAAAAACGCTTGTTGGGAGGTAACCCAATAATAATAATAGTGTATTTGTGAGTTTTTGTGTTTCTTATATTTTGGTGTGATTTCATTGACTAATTAGATATATTTCACTTGTTTGTAGGAGACATTGAAGTTTCATCATCCATCTTTGAAATACAATTGAAGAACAAGTGTAAAAAGGGAGATTTTCTTGCCAAATTGTGTTTTAAATGCTTAAAATTCCCATGCATATATATAAATTATGCATTTCAAGTATATGTAAGTGAGTTTTGGTGATCACATGGTTATAAATGCTCATGGACTCATTTGATGTGCATTTAATGCCCAAAAATGCCATTTTGGTGTAAAAATGTAAAAATGATCAAGGAACCTCACCCCTCGATTTTCAATGTAGATGTGATTGATGTGTTTTGAGAGCTTGGATGCTGTGTTTATGGTATATTACATGTGAGTGGGAGGTTGGAATTGATAAAAAGTATGTCCAATATGTAATTTGGAATTGGCCGAAAAAGGGAGAAAAAGTTTGAAAATTTGCAGTTTCTGCAATTAGTGCTGAAAAATAAGGATCCAAGCTCGGACCCTAAATGCCCAGAAAGATCCGACCTCGTATCCATATGATACGAGCTCGGATCCGATCCAACCTAGATGGATCCGAGGGATCGTCTGTGGTTCTGTTAAGACGGATCCGAGCCTTGTCAGATTTGAGGCCTTGCAGAAACGATCCGCGCTCGGATCGGTTCGCGGATATAGCAGAACCAAAGCCCAAAGCCTCGTTTCTGCATTTTTCGAATTCCCTTTTCCCTCTTCTCACCGAAACCCTAACCTCTTCCTCCAATCTCCCATTTCATCCATCACTCATCCAAATTTTCACCATATAAACCTTCCCAAACCTCACCTGATCATTAACCACAATCTATTTTACCAAAAAACAACATCAAAGAAGGGTTTTGATTTTCAAAACCACAATTTGGGTCGTACCTGATTTCTTCAATTTGGGGGGTATTTTGGCGTGTTTCTGTGTCAAATTTTACATCATTTTCATCCTCCATCATCAATCTACACATTTGAGGTAACAATTTGCAATTCTCTTTGAGATTTCATAACTTCTAATTTTACATTTTTCTAGTTTTTGGGTATATTGTGATAAATGCATATGTGTTGAAATTTCTTGATACAAATGTGCTACATTGTACTAGAATATGTTGTTACTAAAATTTTTGTGCTTAGTATAGGGAAAATTGTGGATTTGGTGATATTTTTGCTTGAAATCTTTTATTTTGTTGAGATAATTTGCATTTGTGTGGATAAATTGGAACTCATGTATATGCAAATTGACAATTATGAAGATTAAGGATATTTTGGCAATGCATATGAAAATGTGGATTTACACGCAGTGGATTGGAGATATGCTCAACTGTTTGAGATGTTCATTCTTGCAAATGTCTATAATTCTCAAGTGTTTGGACTTACTGTGCATGATATGATTTCCTTGGTGAGAATATAGCGTCTAAATGTTAAAATTGAATTTAAGAATGTGTTAAGCAAAGTATGTGTTGATTGTTGGCAGGAAGTTTAGCCCTTTTCAAGGGAAAACTCTGCCGAAATTTTCTTAAATTCTCATTTAACATGTTTGAGCAAGATTATATTGTTTATAATGCATATTTATCTTGTTTGTGTATAGGTACTATGGCTCGCACAAGGAGGGCTCGTATTCATACTCCTACACCATCTTCAGACGAGGAGCGCACTCCCTCACATGAAGAGTCGCCTGAGGAAGAATCTCCTTCGCCTGAGCCACCACCTCGGTCTCGCCGGAAGACCGCATCCACTAGCCGCGACGAGCCGCTTCCAGATTATGACACCACTAGATTCACATCACTCGAGAATCAACAGTGGTACAAAGCAAGCTGAGATAAGGAAATTATCATTGAAAAGCACTTGGCACCGGAGGTGGATGCGCACTACCATATCTCTACGACATTCAAGAGACTCGGATGGGAGAACATCCTTCAATTGCCTAAGCACTACTACCCCAATCTGGTCCGGGAATTCTACGCCAATGTAGAAAACAAACAAAGTCATAGTGGCAACCTCATCGTCGCGTGGGTGCGCGGCAAAAGAGTGGCTCTCAATCGGGATACAATCGCCAAATTCGTCAAACTCAAGGACAACGGGGAAGACGTGAAATTGACCAAAGAGTTTAAGGCAATTGATCCATGGCAAGTGGGCGAAGCCGTATCACATCTTAAGGGTCAGTATCGGGAATGAGGAAGTTCGAAGAAACTCCTCGTTTATGCCGATTCATTTGAGGCTAGGTACCACCTTATCATTTATCTCTTTGCTTTTAATGTGGTACCTAAGAGGAGTGGAAAAAGGGAAGTTCGAAATAGTGACCTTTACTTTTTAGATAAGATGATGAATGGAATAGGTCGACAGCTGACAGGAATTCCTCTAAGCAGCATCATTATTTGCTATATGCGCACTACAGGCAGTTCTGTTTGAAAAGTTCAAAGTACCCTTGGGTGAGGAGAGAGCCATTACTATCAAGGCAGTTGATGAGGTCAATGTTTCAATATTACGGTCCTTGGGTATCCCTACAGATTTTGGAGTTTCTCTGATTCGAGACACGGGAGAGGCTTCGACTTCTGCTCAGCCTCTACCTCACACTCAGCAGGAACCATAAGCTTAAGAGATGGAGGCCCAGCAGACTTTTCTTCCTCCCATTCCATGACCACTACCTCCGTAGCGATCCAAGTGGCAAGAGCTCCTCAATGCTATCTGTTTTATGGAGACTCGAGTCGTCGAGCGCATTGACCAGACCGAGTGGATGATGACAGAGCGACTCGACAGACATGATCGCCGTCTTCGTGCGATCGAGGATCATTTCCATATCCGCCGGTCACCTACTCCGACACCTCAGCAGGAGGAGGGGCATATTGGTACATCACAGGGTCCTCATGGAACTGAGGAGGCAGTAGACCCTCGTTCTGAGCAGCCATGATGATCTTTAGCTGATTACATCTTTTGTTGCTTTATTTTTCTTTTATTGTGTTCGGTTTAAATTTTGTAGTTTTTATATTGGATTCTCTTGTGCTACTTATGGTTTTTCGTACTCTTTTGTTTCATTGTGGACAGAAGTTGGATGATCGTGAGGGTTAAGGGCTTTAATTTGAATCACCACCTATTTGAGGGAAGTTTTAGTTTCTTTTACCTTCCTCTACAATGAGGACATTGTGAATTTTAAGTGTGGGGGAGGGATTACTTTATCTTATGGATGGTTGTGTTTTGAAATGCATGATTTGAGTTGTCTGTGGCTTAAAAATGATGGAATTATATTTGGAAATATTGCCTTGAGGTTAATTTTCTTGAAATTGAGGTTGTTGGCAGGGAGTTTTGTCCATTTTTATGGGAAAACTCTGTCAAAATTTTTCTAAAATATTTTCCAATATCTCAAGTTAATGGCCAAAATGTTCAATTTTAAGTGCCTAATTCTTCCATTGGATAAAATGTTACATGTATTTTGGGAAAGTTTAGCCCTTATTTGACTTGAAATGAATTATTATGCAATTAGGATTTTTACATTTGAGGAAGTATATTCAGTTAAATAAGAAAAATTATGCTTAAAATTTTGCACGTTTAATGATATTTCTCATTTTTACTTAATTTTATAAGTAAGTAATTGGTATAGCCAAGAAAAAGCCAGATTCTTCCTTTAATTATGCTTAGAGGGAAAAGAAAAAAATTATTGTTAAAAAAAATTAAAAAAATCAAAAAATATAATAATAATAATATTTTCTACTCCAATGATTCGCATACTGAGTAACCGGGGGTTGGCATTTACAAATGTCGACATTCGCGTAAAAAAGTATTGGAATTAAGAGTATGCTTAGCAATTTGAATAAGTGAAATGTTGAGTAACCGGGAATCTTCACCTAAAAGTGTTGATTTTCGCGTAAAAAGGCGTTTTCACTATTTAAATAAAATGAAGTGTGAATAAATCCCTCTCAATTGTTAAGTTTTGATGGTTAGGGGATGAGGAAGGCCATAAAATTGACTATGTGATTTACTTATTTGTAAAATTAGGATAGAATGAGAGATTGATTTGAATTTGTTGAAATTAAGGTATAATTATTTTTATTTAATTGAATATTATGAGTATTTAGTGTAATCTGAGAAATGGCATAATAATTGGTTTCTAAGTTTTTGAGAAATTAAATTTGACAAAAATACGTATATTGTTTTATCTATTGAATCATTGAAGTAAGTTTTGTGCAAATTACTTGAGGACAAGCAATAATTTAAGTGTGGAGGAATTTGATAAGTGAATATTTAACGTGTATTTTGTACAATTTTGGCATGAACTTTTGGTACGTTTTGAGAAGATTAAATCCATATTTGAACTCTTTTGGTGATAATTGATTAAATATTGTTTAAGTGTTCAAAACTTGATAAATGAATGGATTAATACGTTAATTTTGTGAAATTGTGAAAGATATCGATATATGAAATTCATGCACGAGATGAAGGGAATGTAAGGATCGTTCAGAGGATTAAATACACAAAAAATTAGGAGCAAAAATGAAGGAAAAAGGAAAGAAGTGAAAAACTGGAAATTTAATGGCACGGATCCAAGCTCGGATCCGTGAAAGCAAAGAAGGATCCGAGCCCTCGTTTGTACTTCTGGAGGAGTGTATCCGATACGATCCGACCTCGGATCCATCATGAAATATCTCGGATCCTTAAGATCCGACCTTGGATCATTTTTCACCCCTCGGATCCGAGACTCGGATCTGTCTCTCTCCTCAGCAAGTGCCACAACCGTTTTTCTTTACCTTTCTCACAACTTTTCCAGCTATTTTGAGGGACAGAAATCTATGGCACATGCTTCTGCAACAAAAGAGAAGACCAAATGAGTGTGGACAAAAAGAAACATCATATCTTTGACTCCTTTTTACAAAATCTGAGTGGAGAAAATTATGAAGTGAAAGGAGTAGACTTTCTACCACCTTTTATGCAGAGACACAAGGGAGAAGCGGAGATTACCATACGTAGCTAGTTTTCCTCTTGTAACTAGTTTTCTCTAGCTAAGAGTTCTTAGAGAAGCATTTTGGAGTTTTAACTTGTAATCATCTTGTACAAGAACATAGCAGAAATTGGAGGGCTTCACCATCAATTGGCTAAGCATTCTTTTATCTTTCTTGAACTTGTACCTTATGATGTTTTGTATTAATAAACTTATGAGTTTGATTGTTAAATCATTCATGAGTAGCTAAACTCCTTAATTTAGGGAGTAGATGAAACTTATGGCTAAATAATACTAATTGAATATGATTTACACTTGTTATATCTTGTATTAACTTGTCTACTTGTGTAGCTGTGATTACTTGTTATTGATTGATCACCAATAGCATGTTTATAGTTGTTATTATTCAATGAGAATTGGTAGTAACAATGGAAATACATGAGTAGAGTTTAAGTTGTATGTTCATGAAAATAGAGATACACATAAGTAGATTACTTAGCATTTCATGAAAGAAAACAGAGTAGTATTAGCATTTCACCATGAAAATAGGGAAAACTAAACTACTCTAGGCCATTTTATCATGAGAATGAGACTTGGTAATTTTGGAAATGAATCTCTGGTTAAACAAGAATAATAACAAGAGGTAAATCCATTCATTTGTATTGTTTATGCCATAAGTGGAACCTACATCCCTAGAATCTTCCATGAGTGAAATTTATTCATTTGAATTTAGCATTGGTTAAACTAGATTTGTGTATCAGATTTGTAGTCTATAGCAATATACTTTCTCTGCTCAAATTTATTGTAAGTCTAAATAATAGAGAAAAATAAGGGTCTAGTACTTGTTTTAATTGCTTCTCGTGGGATCAACCCGATACATACCCTACATTACGATTTCGGCCTGTATACTTGCAGCTAACGGGTATAAAAATCGGATTTAAATTTGCATTGATATAAAAATCCCGTCACCGACCAAAGAGAGGAGAGAGAGAGTGGTTTGAGTTGTGTGAATCTTGTCTTGGAAGTTTGAAGAAATTGTGGCCAAAAGCTTTGCAAAAGTCAATTTTGAATAGGGTTCGAATAGTATCCTGTACTACCACTTTTCTCTCTTGTTTGTTTCACTTCTGTACTAATTCTCAAATGTAATTCCTTTAACACTGTAATTACTCACTCTTAGTAGTCTAGTATTAATTTCTCAAATCTCCAATTAGTCGCGTGGTGCGACTTTTGAGAACTATCGATGCGCGGGCGATAAAGCGAAAATTTGAACTCACTCACCTCTAATCTCTCAATTAACTTTTCTTAGTCTACTATTGATTATTCTTAATTTTTCAAGATTATTGCACTCTCGAATCGAATATTATTTCAAAAAATATGTATTCGCTATTTCTTACTAGACGAGCCACAGAAAAATTAAATTTGCTAACGAGGCGTTTTAAAAATATAAATGAAACCTTGTTCCATGTAATTAGATTTAAAATGGTTGAAATAAATTATTCAGAAAAAATGGGTGAATAAATAATTAAATAAGCCAGTAAAATAGAATTAAAAGTAAGTAAAATTCGGGTCCTCACAGAAAAAGAGACAAAAGATAAAAAGAGAGAAGAGAAAAAAAGAAAAAAAGAAAAAAAAATAAGAGAAAGAGACATGAGAAGATAAAAAAAAAAAAAGAAGAGAAGATAGAAAGAGAAGTCCTATTAGAATTAAATTGGGGCAAATTTTTTAGTTTTTATCAGCCCTACATTGGGGCAGATTTTGAAAAATGTGCTTTCAAAACTATCTCAATGATTTACTTTCAAGTATTAACCTTTCTTGTTATGACCTCTATCTTTTGCAATATTTTGAGGAAAATTTTTTTAATCAAATGGCAAATAATGTAAAAACACTTTCACTAATTTTGCAATGGAAGAATTTTCTTACCGATGCCATCAATCTTGAAGCAAATTTCTGAATTGATAGAGACTATCATTAAAGTTGTTTATAAGTGAAAACTCGAATGGCCGCCCTTTCAAAAAATAAAAGAAGAAGAGAGAATTTTTTGCAAAAACACTCTGAGTCTTGTATTTCATTTCCTTAAAGCAATCTTGGCTTTGCATGTTTATTCCAACACTTTTGAAAGTATTTCTGATTCTTTTTGTTCCTTCTAGTCTAGCAGCATGACTGTTGCAAGTTTGCCCTCTCAAGATTAGCAATTCAAACTTTGCATTTTTTCATTTCTCCCACTAATTATTTGAGTTTAGTTTAATCCCACCAATAATATAGGCTCGGAGTGCATTTTCACTTCTCTTACTAATTATTTGGGTTCAGATTTTATCCTACAAATTTACTATTTATTTCGATTCGAGTTTTATTCTACCAATCTACTAATTATTTGAATTCGAATTTTATCCAGCCAATTTACTATTTGTTTGGGATCGGATTTTATTCTACCAATCTATTATTTATTTGGATTCGGATTTTATCCCACAAATTTACTATTTATTTGGGTTCAAAATTTATCCCATCAATCTATTATTCATTTGGATTCGAATTTTATCCCACCAGTTTATTATTTGTTTGGTCTCAAATTTTATCCCACAAATTTACTATTTATTTGGGGTCGGGTTTAATCCCACCAATCTACCATTTGTTTGGATTTGGGTTTGATCCCACTATTCTAC